GCAGAATCTGTTCAATCTCTAACGTTCTGCTCTCTCTGCTTCTTCTCACCCTTGTTTCGGCCTGTTTTTCAGTGTAGTCCTGTTGTGAATTGGCGCTATAGAAAAATTGAATAGAATTGTTGCTGGACCCATCACTACTGATCAGCATATTGACAGAACTTGAGGGGGATAAAGCAAACAAGTGTCTTTTCTTAACAATGGCAAAACATTTTTAAAATACAAAAAAATGAAAGAAAAAAAAAAAAACACATAGTGTACGTGTAAAAATCATAAATAAGGTTAAAGTTTTGTGCATCCCGTCCCAATCGGCCATCGTCTTGGAAAAAACAAAACGAAACAAAAAAAATCAAAAAGCAGGAAACAAAACAATGGCAGTTACAGCGGCAGCCATGACAAGGAACTGATATACTTTACAGCACTGATGTGTACCCCCCCACCCCCCAAATACAATCCTTAATTATACATCAGCTCATTCAAAACACATCTCCTGCTCTGCTGTGATGCGTGAGGGGCGGCCATGTTGAAGAGGGCAGCACCTTTCAGCGACTCGCCCTCTCTGTGTTTACAGGAAGCAAGCTGATGTGGTTTGAATGACTGCATAGTGAACATGATATTTGGTTTACGTACAGATGGACAAGGACACACACACCAACACACACACACTCGGTGCCAAGGCACAGCACAGGTCAACGCCGTGGGCTACCTGCTTCTACTCACATGGCAAGCTAATATACATAAAGCATCGCTGTGTAGGATGGGAGAGCTTTATACATTTGGTGCACATAGATTATCCCAGCTTCATTTTCCCCTCACTCACCCCGATCGGGTCAGGTGTTACAGATGAGCCGCCGTCCAATCAGTGAGCAGGGGGCACAAACAGCAGGATGGAGTGTTTGCTATTATAAGTGTGCGTTTAGAAGAAATAGACGGGAAAATCAGCAGCGGGAGTTGTAGCACTGAGAGAGAGAAGTCTCCTTCAGCAGCATCGTGTGAAAACTGTCAGGCTTTGCTGGAAAAAGCCAGACAGCAGCACCAGATCTGGGTTTATGTACAACAGGTGGCAGCAGAGATGCTGAGGAGCCACGGCGGAGCAGAGAACCCTGCCGCCGGATGAAGGAGGCCCAGTCTGAGCTAAATCTGCCACTTAAAATACGCAGCAAGCGGAACCCGGATCTCCATCGCACCTGCTCAGAAGAACGGAAACAACAAAACTATGGTGAAGCAAGGTAAAAACTAAATTAACTTCTGGTTTCATGTAGTTTTTACCATGCAGCTCCCAAAAGACTAAAAACCAAAGCCAAGAATAAAAAAAGGAGTTGAGACTTCACAGATATAAAAGAATTTCTAAAAGTAGAATGGGAGGCAGATCTTTTAGTTCTCAGGCTCCTCTCCTGTGGAACCAACTACCAGTTTTAGTCCGTGAGGCAGACACCCTGTCTACTTTTAAGGCTAGGCTTAAAACTTTCCTTTTTGATAAAGCTTCTAGTTAGAGTGGCTCAGGTTATCCTGATCTATCTCTATAGTTCTGCTGCTATAGGCTTAGACTGCTGGAGGACATAGGGACCCCTTCTGGTTATTTTTCTTCATTATACTCTTATCTACAGTTGCCTTTTGTATCTCTGCTTCTGTCTCCTTGAACCCCAGTGGGCCTCAGCAGATGGCCGCTCACACTGAGCCTGGTTCTGATGGAGGTTTCTTCCTGTTCAAAGGGAGTTTTTCCTCTCCACTGTCGCTACAAGCATGCTTAGTTGGACAGATTGCTGAAGAGTCAATGAGTCGATGCAATCAGCTGGTTTTCCTTAGAAAGAAAACTTTGAACCAATCTGACTGGATGATCTGGTGAACTGGAAAGTGCCTTGAGATGACATGTTGTGAATTGGCGCTATAGAAATAAACTGAAGTATAATTGAATTGTGAGGACAGTATATCCTGGTTTTACCTCCATTCTATGTTCTGACTTAATGTTTCATTAGCCGTGTGATGCTAGTTTTGTCCGGCTGAAGCTGCACACTGAAAGAGCCTGGTTCTGCTGGAGGTTTCTTCCTGTTAAAGGGAGTTTTTCCTCTCCACTGTCGCTACAAGCATGCTTAGTGTGAGGGATTGCTGAAGGGTCAATGAGTCGAGAATTGTGAGGACAGTATATCCTGGTTTTACCTCCTTTCTATATTCTGACTTAACGTTTCATTAGCCGCGTGATGCTAGTTTTGTCCGGCTGAAGCTGCACACTGAAAGAGCCTGGGGAATCCGACGCAGGTAAAATGCTAACTTACTGAGCAGATGGATGAAAACCGGGGCCCCCTGCTGTAAGTGCACCAGCCTCCCCCCTGCACATTGTATGACACGTACACAGCGCTGCTATAATACAGCGTACCCCCATCCTCTCAGACACACAACATTCCTTCCCACTAGCTAGAGAGTTCACATGTAGTTGAGCGCAGACATAACAGCTCTGCTCTTGCACATTAGTTGAGTTGTGTTCACCTTTGGTGTGGACAGACGGAGGGATGGAAGGATGGACCGGGTGCTGGATGGACTAGAAGCATCTTGACAGACAAACTTCCCCTCTAACTGTATTTACACTGTACAGAATGTAGTGTGGTGTAGTACAAAGGAAATAAGGTGAGATGTGCCTTTACACGGAATATTAGCTGTTTTTCAGCACTTCCTTTCACCATCTCTCACTTCACTCGGCTCTCTGCAGACTTGCTGTTTTGTATTTGGTAAGACTTGTCGACATTGCATGATTATATATTTGGCTTTAAAAGAAAAAAAAAATGATTAAAGTTTTTTGTACTTTGGGGAAAAGAAGTGACAGCAGCGTCTAAAGCGATCAAAAGTAGCAGCACGTCAATAAATAATGCAGCCCGGCTGAACGGAACGGTAAACGACGCGCTAGCTAAACTCGTACAGTTGGTGCAGCAGCACGAAAGCTTTTTACAGAAACCATCTAACCTCGGCGCTCAGCGCTATTCTACCCCAATCATTTGCAACACATCCTGCAAACCTTCCTCAGTTTGTCTAACCATCTTTTATCTCGTCTCACTTTCTTTTACACTCAGCATCGTTCCTCTCGCCTCGCTCCTCATTCTTGTCTCATGCTCCTGTCGCTTTAACTTCCACTCATCTTGACGACGTTCCCCTTCCTCACCAACACCCGACATCCTCCTGTCTGCCTTTGCCACTCCTTAGCTCCTCATCTAGCTGTGTTTTGGTTTGGTGAGAGCAAAAAGCTGGACTCTAGAATAACATCTAAGCTTTGGATGTGGCAGATCTGCTCTACTAGATATTCCTTCACCAACATCTGTCGTTCTTCACTCAACTCTTTGCCGTTACTTCATTCTAAACATTCCTCACAGTCAGGAAGGTCAAAATAAAAATTCTGGGGGCCAAAGATTGTTTTGCAAATTTGCCAATTGAGTTTTTTTACTCTTAAAATTAGATAATTGGATAATATGCACTTGAAATAAGACAAGGCAACTGTTTTTTCTTACTTTAAATGTAAATTCTCTTCTTCCATTGGCTCACTTACCTCCTCAATTCAAGAAAAATCGCATTTTTTTAAAGAAAAAAAATATTTTGCGGTGTTCTAAACATTCCTCATCGTCAGGAAGGTCCAAATGAAAATTCTGGGGGCCAAAGATTGTTTCGCGAACTCTTTAGGATTTAAGGTAAGTATCGACATTCTCTTGAAAGAACACTGAAGTTTACAATTAATAATACTAAACCGGCATCTGTTTTTTACAAATATTAGTCAAATCTTTAGGTTTTATTCATCTACTTTTTCACAGCAACTATTCGGGTTCATTCTTCTAAAAATCGGCTGAATCTGTTCGTTAAAACTCCCAACATGACATCAGGATTAGTTTTAGACATATTTCCACTTCTGTTCTGACTCTTGAAGGAGGAGGTCGCATTTTCCTGCTGCTCTCCACCTCCCTGCTCCGTCCCTGCTTTGCTGTGTCTCGTCTTTTCTGATCACTCTCTTCATATCATCCAAACTCAAACAGTGGATCTGCTCAGCTGGTCTCTCCCTGCAATTGATCCAATTTTCTCAACTGGAAGAAAGGGAAAAGGGGAGCCGTCCTGTCCTGCCGGGACAAACTTCGTGGGATACACCATGGACTCCTGGAAGGCTTGGAGGATGGTGTGTTTTACAATGTCAGTGCAGGATGTCGGAAATGTATGTTTGGATTTGGAGGGAACCTGATGTATCTACAAATACGGAGGATGTCGGCGGCAATTTGGGCATTGATCAGGCTGCCGGCTGCGGTTCACGCGCTCACGAAGGCTGTGAATGAGCGAGATCGGGAGTTTAGCCGTATGCTAGGTGCGAATGAACGCAGGCTGGCTGCGGTGGTTGAACTCAAAGGTGAGATGGGATAATATCTTGGATGTGCGCGCTCGCTTCAAGGCGGAAGAGCCAAACTAATACGGAATATTGGACTCGCCACATGGAGCCAGAAAGAAAAGACTCAAGGATGACGGAAAATTCCTGTGCAGCCTGCTCTCAAAACAACAAGCGTTATTTCGGATTCGGTCTCCTCCTTATCAAACCTTCCCTGAATGTCGTGGCGGAAGGAACCAGAAATGCCCCAAACCCATTTCATCACACACACACCTGAGGCTCAAAATGTCCGACTGACTTTCATGTGATTTTTTTTGTTTTTTGTGCCGTGGTGCTTTTTTGATATCGCAAACTGTGTCCTGTCAACGATAAAGAGTTAAATATGCTTTTTTTTTATAGTATATATAAATATAATTTTTACAACATCCCTTGCATTAGATTACAAAGTGGAATACATGACTAACATCCTAGCACATTAAAAGAAATATTTTGCTAACGGCTCAGATTCTCTTTTGAAAAAGGTTCAAATATCACTCTTTTTTTTTTGGACATGATATTGCAGAATTGGGACTTTGGCTGGAAACCAGATTCCTAGATTGACATTCCCTCCCAGCGGCTCTATAAAGACAACTTACTGGTTTAATTCCTAACACCTAAAACTTGCTGCACCGTCTCCTACGCTCCCGTCATCAAACTGCACGCAGCCTTTGGTCTGATAAATCTACGCCTTGCTCAACAGCTGAGGCAGACTGAACAAAAAGGGGAAGAGGTAGACGAACAGGCTGATGTTTGGAAGAAGATATAATCCGCGCTCCCTGCCTTACCGTCCGTTTTATCTCCATCTCTCCTGTTTGCCTTCTCTCTTATATTCCTAAACAAACTTCCCAGAATCCAACCGCCCTCATCCTTCTCTAAAGAACATTCTGATAAACGTGTTGCAAAAACCAAAGACAAATATGTCTAAAAAGCTACAATGCAACACTAATTTTTTTTTAAAACTTTTTGTTTTTCCCAAATATGCAATAAAAAAAAACATCTAGCGTAATTATATATTGAATAGAAAGTTAGAAAGTCTAGAATCCGTATATAGATGAAAATATAGATGATGGGGGTTAGAGCTGCAGTGATGGAGGATGAAAACATGGTTATAAAAGCTGATATTTGTTCACTAAATAGAGACAAACATTATTTAGACTAAAGTAGAGCCTGAGAATGAATGACAGTAGAAACACCTGAAGATTTCTCATTTTGCTCTCCTTGCAGTCTGTGTGTGAAAAGGATTTCACTAACCTAGCAAACGTCTTTTTCCAGTGTGTAGTGACTACTCTGCTGATCGATCCACCGACAATCAGAAAACAAAAGAGCTAAATGTGGAGGAAATGTGGAAACACACGGGAGATGGTCGGTGTGGTGCGGTCTGAGTGAAGCTAGCTAGCGTGCGTTTCCTCTCCTGCTAATCCAAACTCTACACATTACTCAATAATAAAATGACCGTCAATCCATCCATTAGCACATCGCTGTCCATCGCTCCATCTGTCCCTCTAGAGTCCTCTGCTGAGTCTTTGCTTTTTCTATGGGCTCGTCGGGTTCCCCGGCGGACGGGCGGGTCCGGTCTGGAGCCGGGCGTAGCTGTGAGCAGCTAGACTAGAGCGGGCCGAGCCTGCGTGAAGCGGCTAGTCTAGTCCGGCGCTCGGCCCGGCTGAGACCGGGGCGGCCGAGGCTAGGCTACCTGCTGAGGAGTGAATGGAGCATGTGTTGATGGCTGTAACACTGGCTGCTGCGCGGCGACTCCGTTCGCTCCATCACCGTCTGAAACCAGCCCGCCACGTCCACCTCCAGCACTTCGTAGCGCCGGATGAAACTGTGCTCCTGTTAAATCGAGAGGAAGAAAAAAAAATAAATATAAAAAACTAAAAAATGCATGAGTGAGTCGCCACCATGGCTGCTTTTATTCCCCAGATAATGGGAATAATAAAGCATCACTTACCAGCAGCTGGTGGTATTTTGGCCGTTTTCTGTGGTCCTTTGTGAGGCTGTAGATAAACACGCATAGATGTCAGATTAAGAACAAAACCATTTCAAAATGCTTCTTTGCAGGATTATAGAATAAATATCTATATAGGAAAAATTTGTTAGTATTCACACCCCCTGAATGTTCAATGTACACAACGTACTGCTTTGTTGCAAAGTGGAAAGAAAAAGGTAAAATATTTGAGAAAACTTGTATTTAGAGCAAAATACCCAAATGAAGCATCCTAACTCACATTAATTCTTCTTTTTAAAACACCTTAAACTCAGTCATGTTCAGTTGAAGCATCTATGAACAACAGGGTTCCTACAGCATAAGCCAAGTTAAATTCAAGACTTTTTAAGACTTTTTAATGCCACTTAAATAAAAAACTTAAGACCAACTTGACAATAAACACAAGAAAAACCTGGTAGCGACAAATTTACCCCAAATGTTTATTTTAACATAAACCATTACTTTCTGGCCCAGTAGATGCGTTTCAAATTTTGAAACACTTTCCATATAAGAAGAAAGCTAAAAACAAACAAATAACAGATATATTTTTAACAATAAACACTGAACTGAATTCACTAACTTTGTTTTGTTCCCTACTCAACCCCCTACTTTCATTAGTTCCTGAGATTTGGTTCTACTGCCGCTGTTGGTGATGTGAGAGATGCTGTGGAGGCGTAGCAGAGATAAGGGTGGAACAGAACGATGAAATGCCCGCTACTTCTCCATAACTTGATTTTTAAGCTTTGAGTTTAATGCTTCGCACATGTCTCCACTGCCTTGAATCCCACGGTCCTACATCTACATACATCCGTCTTGGATGGATAGCTAATTTTTCGTTGAATTTAAAACTTCCCTATGTTGTCCAGATAAAAAGTGACTGACACATCATCCCAAGGTCCGGCCGCAACATCTATATTGTTGGTTCTGCTATCGGGACGGAATCAATAATGGTTACAGCGAGCGGTTCGGTAAATGTATTAAAAATATTGTCAGTTATTTAATTGTTTTATATGGATTACAAAAATAAAAATTTTTTTTAAGACCTATGAAAGACTGATTTAAGACATTTTAATACCAATTAATGCCTTGATTTTATATTGAAGAATTCAATGCATTTTAAGACTTTTTAAGGATCTGCGGGAGCCCTGTTTAAGGGTGAACCTCGACCAAAGCAGCAGATCTTCCTCCAGCATTGCTCTGCATCCATCACCATCCAAAATCCCACCAGCTTTGTTTTAAATATTAAAGAAAAGTTATCGTGCAGGATAATAACTACCACCATGTTTTTCACCATCTTTTTATTTCACGCTGCATTCTATATCCAGTTCAATTTAGATCCAATCTGAGTAGAGTACTTTCTTCTACAGGTCTACTGCCCCCCAGAGGGCTACAGGAAAAAGTGCAGGCAGGATTTTTGTGGCTTCTTTAATGCCGCTTTTCCATATTTGCAAACTAATCAAGGCTTGTGATGCAATCTGATGAGAACCACCTGGGCCACAATTAGGATCGGATTTTATCCGTTTTTAATTATAAACACCAAACTTTGTTCCTCTTTGAAAGGAGCAGAGACGTTTCCCGCTGCATTAAAGGAGAAGTTCGGTTTTTTACACTTTAAGCCCATTTTCTGTAGTGTCCAGGATGAAATCGAATGAAGGACACCAAAATTTTGACAATTGCTCCCACCTCTGCTTTTTGGCTCATTTAGAATCAACCCCTGGCTGCTTTAGAATGGCTAGCATAGAGCATGTCCGATAATGTCCTTAAAACAACCTTAAACGTTCTT